GGCGCAACGCGCGCTATGTGGGACCGCTATAGGGATCTGAAGAGGGAAGCGAGACGTATTTGCCGCAATAAGAAGAGAGAGGCCGAAATACGTGAGTGCGAAGAGCTTGAAATGCTCGCCAACAGGAAGAATGCCCGAAAATTTTACCAGAGAGTTAGGCGACTTACGGAAGGTTTAAAGACCGGGGAGTACTCCTGTAAGAACAATAATGGCGACCTAGTAACTGATGTCCAGAGCGTACTTAAATTATGGAGGGAACACTTTTCCGCCCTACTAAATGGAAGCAGCACGGAAAGTCGTGGAGAAGAAGAACCCGAGCCCGCAGTCGATGATGACGGAGTCGACGTTCAACCGCCTGGCTATGACGAGGTACGTATAGCAATAACGCGGCTGAAAAACAACAAAGCTGCTGGAGCTGACAGCCTGCCAGCTGAGCTATTCAAGTACGGCGGCGAGGAGTTGATAAGGTGCATGCATCAACTCTTGTGCAGAATATGGTCAGATGAACGCATGCCCGACGACTGGAATTTAAGTGTGCTGTGCCCAATCCACAAGAAAGGTGACCCCGCCATTCGCGCCAACTACCGCGGGATCAGCCTTCTAGGCATAGGCTACAAGGTCTTATCGAGCGTACTGTGTGAAAGACTTAAGCCCACCGTCAATGAACTGATTGGGCGTTATCAGTGTGGCTTTAGACCTGGAAAAGCCACCATAGACCAGGTATTCACAATACGCCAAATCTTGGAAAAGACCCGCGAGAAAAGGATCGACACTCACCACGTATTTGTCGACTTTAAAGCCGCCTTTGACAGCACTAAAAGGAGTTGCCTATACGCCGCTATGTCTGAATTTGGCATCCCCTCAAAACTTATACGGCTGTGTAAAATGACGTTGAGCAATACCACCAGCTCCGTCAGAATTGGGAGAGACCTCTCCGAGCCGTTCGCCACAAAACAGGGTTTCAGACAGGGCGACTCCCTTTCATGTGACTACTTTAATCTGATGTTGGAGAAGATAATAAAAGCTGCAGAACTGAACCGCTCAGGAACAATTTACTACAAGAGCGTGCAATTGCTGGCTTATGCCGATGACATCGACATCATCGGTAACAAAAACCGCGAAGTCTGTTCTGCCTTTTCCAAATTGGTTAGGGAAGCAAAGCGAATGGGTCTGGTGGTAAACGAGGACAAGACTAAGTATCTCCTGTCATCAAACAAACAGTCAGCACATTCACGCCTTGGCACCCACGTCACTGTTGACAGTTACAATTTCGAGAAAGTAGAGAATTTCGTTTACTTGGGAACCAGCATTAACACCGATAATAATGTCAGCATTGAAATCCAACGCAGAATCACTCTTGCCAGCAAGCGCTACTTTGGACTGAGTAGGCAATTCAGGAGTAAAGTCCTCTCTCGACGTACGAAAACCACGCTCTATAAGTCACTCATCATGCCTGTGCTGGTATATGGCGCAGAAGCATGGACAATGACAACATCCGATGAGGTGGCTCTTGGAGTGTTTGAGAGAAAGATTTTGCGGAAGATTTACGGGCCTTTACGCGTTGGCGACGGCGAGTACCGCAGACGATGGAACGATGAGCTGTATGAGCTTTACAACGATATGGACATAGTGCAGCCAATTAAAATACAGCGGCTCCGCTGGCTTGGTCATGTCGTTCGAATGGACGCCGACGCTCCAGCTCTGAAAGTATTCAACTCGGAACCCGCTGGTGGTAGCAGAGGAAGAGGGAGGTCCCCACTGCGATGGAAAGATCAGGTGGAGAAGGACTTGGCTTCACTTGGCGTTTCCAATTGGCGTCAGTTGGCACAGAGGAGAAACGACTGGCGTGCTTTGCTGAACTCGGCCAAAATCGCTTAGGCGGTTACAGCGCCAAAAAAGAAGAAGAAGAAGAAGAGTAAAATTTTGTCATCGCTTCCATTCTTCGCGAAGAGTCCATAGAAGATTTGTTCTCGCTCGTTCTCTGTCAAAAAGTTCTTAATACTTAAGTTACCAAATTGTTCTTCGAAAGACAGTTCCTTAGACTTTTCTTCCCGTTTTGTTCTTATATAATTCCACAGGGTTTTGTTCTTATATAATTCCTATTGATAACAGTCTCGACAGTTTTGTTCTCATTTCGGTTTTGGTGATATCTTTAATCTGATGTTGGAGAAGATAATAAGGGCCGGTTGCTCAAAGCCTGGTTGACACTAATCCCCGGTTAAACATCGTTATCGACGTTACCGACACCATGTTATTTGCATGGAGCCGAAAACGTCGATAACGATTTTAATCGGTGATTAGTGTCAATCGGGCTTTGAGCAACCGGCCCTAAGAGTCGCAGAACTGAACCGCGCACGCACAATACTTCACAAGAGCGTACAATTGCTGGCGTATGCCGACGATTTCGACATTATTCCTAGAAATAAGGGCCACGTCTGTTCTGCCTTCTCGGAGTTAGAAAGAGAAGCAAAGCGTATGGGTCTGATGGTGTACAAAATGACGTATTTCATATCGTCTCACGAATAATCAGAGCATAAGCGTCAATGACAATGAAAACATCTGATGATACGGCTCTTGGAGTTTTCGAGAGAAAGATTCTGCGAAAGATTTATGGGCCGTTTCTCATTGGCGACGGCAAGTACCGCAGACGATGGAACGTGAGCTTTGCAACGGCATGCATATAGTGCAGCGAACCAAAATACAACGGCTACGCCAGCTTGGCCATGTCCTACGAATGTACGGAATCGCTTCAGCTCTGAGAGTATTTAACGCGGGTCGCGATGATGGAAGATGAAGGCCCCAACTGCGATGGAAGGACCAAGTGAAGAAGGACTTGGCTTCACTTGGCGTTTCCAATTGGCGTCAGTTGGCACAGAAGAGAAACGACTGGCGTGCTTTGCTGAACTCTGCCAAAATCGCTTAGGCCGTGGTTATGCCACCAATTTTAATTGGCAATCAAAAGAAAAAAATTTTGGTAATTGGTGAGAAGTGGTTACGCTCTGTTTGCTGATTGGCGAGCACAGGGTTGCTTCTTAAGAAATGCCTTTTTCCATTTCATACAATTTCGCACACAATGGCAGCACTGAAGTAAAAATGCAACCAAAAATGCATCAAAATTGAAGTCAGAAAATGAAAATTGGTAGAACAACTTAATATTTTTTCTTTCTTTAATACTTAGTTTTTATAATAATATTTTTTTAATGTCTACTTTATAAAAATAATAAAAAAATATTTCTTACTATTCTAGTATTTAATACTAAGGGCCGGTTACTCAAAGTCTGGTTGACACTAATCTCTGGTTAAACATCGTTATCGACGTTATCGAAACCGTGCTATATGCATGGAGTCGTAGACGTCGATAACGATGTTTAACCGCAGATTAGTGTTAACCAGACATTGAGTAACCGGTCCTAATTCTTTTTCGGAAAATAGCGTATTGCCACCCTGAAAAATTGGCGTGCTGGCTGTTTGGTTCACCCAGCAAATCGTGCTGGCTGTTCGATTTCGAAAATTCTCTCACTCCGTGCTGTGCACAACAACAATTTCACGGTGATTGCCAATCGAAATTGATGGCGTAACCACGGCCTTAGGCGGTTACAGCGCCAAAAAAGAAGAAGAAGAAGAAGTTTGTGTTGCTTTCGCCCTGTTCGCGTATGCACTATCCAGTAAATCCAGTACTAATTTTACTGGTTTTTTACTGGATGTCGTTTTCGTACGCAAAAACTTGCAAGAAACTTGCAAAAGAGGGGAAATTGAGAGAGCAAAATTGACAGCTGAACTTGCAAGTTTTACTGGATTTTTACTGTAAATCACATTAACAAAATAATTCTTTGTGGTGCTTTTAGAGTTGCAATTGACAAAATAAACCTATTTAAATATATAATAAGATGGAAAATACTAGTTTTCTAAGAAAATTGCATCGGAAAATAACAAATTAATCAGCTGTTCATAAAACTAGGAACTTCTTGCTGGTTTTGCGTTTTCGTACTTTCTTGCATATTTCACTAATTGGGAGTAAATATTGGCTTACTCTCCGAAATTTTGTTACTGGGCAAGTTACTGGATATTTTTTGCTGGAGAATACAAAAACACAACTTTTGTCTAAAATACGGTGTCGTTGATTTCTTAAGTAAAAAAAAAAAAACTTTAAATATTATATATATTAAAAAATAGAAGGCTACCGTTAAGTTTGCCCCAAGTGCTTTCATTTACTTAAAACAAGCGAAAACTCAAGTGAAAATTGTGATTTTTGGTCATTTTTCTAATGGGTCCCTAGGGATCTACAGGGGGTCTAGGTAGTCGGGGTTGCATTTTTGTTAATAGCGTTTCATACCCTTTCCAAAAAGAGGGGTAGGAAGTGCCCATGAACGAAAGACACAAGATCACGTAAGAACAAGAGAGTGAAAAAAGTAAATTTTTTTTAGCGGGTTCTACGCCATCTTGTTTCACTGGAAAACGAGCGAAAAGTAAACAAAGTAAAGAAAACAACGAAAACCAAAATTAGCCAAAATTGTTGTCGCACAATTTAGGTAAAATGATGCAACAAAATGCTTTAAAATGTGTTGTCATGGTGAATTAACTCTTCTATACTTGAATAAAAGTGTAAAATAGTGGTGCTTGTGATGTAAACAAACGCTCAGCTGACGAACCCGCTTTCGCAAACTTTTTTCTCAAAACCAGTTACAAATACAACGTCGCGTTCTTATGTGATCTTGTATTTTTGGTTCATGGGAGGTGCCACGCAGCCTCCTCTTCCGCCAACCGCCCCTTTAACCAACGCCCTTATTGAAAAGTTTCCACGAAATATTTTATATAGTGTAATACTTCTTAATTTTGCCACTTGCAATTATATCGTGCAAGTTCTTGCACTGCTACGTAACACTGTACTGTTAACTTTTCGATTGATTGATATTAAAATATGTTGGCAACTGTTACAAACATTTGATCACAATAAACGATCGTTCGATTACATAACCTAAAATTGATAACAACGTTATCACCGAAACAATTCAGTGGTTTTAGGAGAGTGAATTACTATTTAATACTTAAAAAATGAACAAATCTTTTTGGCCATTAATGAACGCTTTGAAATCACGGACTGTGGTGCCATTGAGCCGATCTCATTTCACATATTATCCTGACAAGGCTTCCAAGGAGGTTGCATCCAGTGGCAATGTCACCGAAAAAATGAATATGTTTCAAGCGATCAATAATGCTATGGACTTAGCACTTGCGCAAGATTCAAAAGCGTTACTATTCGGTGAAGATGTTGGTTTTGGTGGAGTATTTCGATGTTCAATGAATCTCCGCGATAAATATGGTAAAGAGCGCGTTTTTAATACACCACTTTGCGAGCAAGGAATAGCTGGTTTCGCCATTGGTGTTGCAAATGTAGGCGCCACAGCCATTGCCGAAATACAATTCGCTGACTACATTTTCCCAGCTTTCGACCAAATTGTTAATGAAGCTGCTAAATACCGTTACCGCAGTGGCGGTATATTTGATTGTGGCTCTTTGACCTTTCGTGTTCCATGTGGTGCGGTTGGTCACGGTGCTCTTTATCATTCTCAAAGTCCGGAGGCATACTTTGCACATACGCCCGGTTTGAAGGTAGTTATTCCTCGTGGGCCGATCAAGGCTAAAGGATTACTATTAGCTTGCATACGGGAACCTGATCCATGTATTATATTTGAACCAAAAACATTGTACCGAGCTGCCGTGGAAGAAGTGCCCACAGGCGATTACGTCTCTGAATTAGGCAAAGCAGAAGTGCTGCGCAAGGGTAAAGATGTAACTTTAATAGCATGGGGAACCCAAGTGCATGTACTACTTGAGGTAAAATTCACGATTAAAAATTGGGAGTGTCTATTTACGCGCGCCACGGTTTACCGTCGATTACGTGGATTACCGTAGATCCACGGTAAAATTACAGTAGTTCCGCGGTAAAATTACGGTAGATCAGCGGGAAAAATTACCGTAGATCCACGGTAAAATTACCGTATATCCAAGGTAAAAATTACCGTAGATCCTCGCTAAAAATTACCGAAGATCCACGATAACTTCTGAGAAAGTATATCTACCGCGAATCCGCGAAAAAAAAATTACCGTGGATTCACAGTGGTTTTCGAAGCGTGCGGAAATCTGTATTTTTTAACAGTAGATCTACGACAAAAATTAGTGTCGACCGAGGTTATCTAGTTTTCCAACGTGAATGAACAATCCTAATTTCTCGTGGTACACGAGTGTATTCAACATGCGTAGTATTTGATTTGCTCACAATAGAAGCATGTACATTAGACTGCATCACCAAAAAAAGTTGCGGTTGTTCCGCCGGGATTACAAAATTTGTTATATTTTAAGACGTCCACCAAAATATTTCGGATAAATATTAAGATTTAAGTGAGCTGGGCCGATTTGAAAATACCTCCAAAAACGAAGTTTTTTATGAATAAAAATAGTTTCTTATAGAACTTTTTGAAAAAAGTCCCCCTCAGATGACAAACTAGATTAAGCTTAAAAAATCTGCATAAAAATATTTAAAAATCTTTTAAACGGAATCGTAAGAATGAGATTTTTGATGCTCTTTTTTTTACTTTTTCAAAGATTGCTTTACGAAAAACTTGAATAACTGGGCCAAAAATGTTCTGATTTAGACTTATGGGATCTCAGTAGAAAGGTATTTTCACACTTGGGGTGTTCACAGTTCGTTCCAAATAGTGTCTCAAAATGTAGACGTCTACATTTTAAGACGTTTTCTAACCGTAAAATCTGTGGTGTTGTTTCCCATACAAAATTGGAAAACGACGCCGTCTACATTTTGTCACACTCAAAGGTATGTTTTTTACGCGTCTACATTTTGCAACCTCGCAGCAGGGTTGCATTATGGCAATACTAATCGCATTTTTTTTTTATTGGGCACGTTTTCTGTATTTGCATTTAATTTGAGCGCAATTTCTGATGAAAAGAAACAAATCAAGGAAAAGAAATAACAAATATTAGGAATTGGTAATAAAGTTAAATAATTACATTTTTTCAGAAACAAATCGAAAGGCGACATATAAAAAAGCACGCAAAGAAGAAATGTCTGGCAACACCAGCAAAGTTTTGAGACGACTGGTAGAAAGGGGTGCTCACAGTTTGATGCTAAAGATGTCTCAAAATGTAGACGTCTACATTTTCAGACACAATTTGGAACGAACTGTGAACACCCCAACTGTTTTTATTTCTGGCCAAAAAAATGTCATTCGTGTCCCATCTGTTTTCTTCGAGTACCAACAATTCTTAATTCAACTTTGAATGACGTTCGTTCCTCCTACCTTTCTCTTCCATCCTTTGAATGAGTTTATTAGCAAAGAAATAAAAAGGGTGAGAAAATACCTTTCCAATGACACCTCTCAAGTCTAAATCCGAAGAGTTTAGGTTCAGTTATTCAAGTTTTTCTTATACCAATCTTTGAAAAAGTTAAAAATCAGCATCAAAAATCTCATCATTACGATTCCGTTCAACATTTTTTTAAATTTTTTAAATATTTTTATGCAAATATTTTGAGCTTAAACCGTTTTGTCATTTGAGGGGATTTTTTCAAAAAATATCTTTAAGAAACTATTTTTATTAATAAAAAACTCCATTTTTGGAGGTATTTTCAAATCGGTCCAGCTCACTTAAATCTTAATATTTTTCCGAAATATTTTGGTGGTCGTCTTAAAATAAAATAGATTTTATAATTCCAAAAATAAAATAGTACCGATTTTTTTTGTATGGGGAGCGATGCAGTCTAATGTACATACCTAAATTACTGCCATTCAGTCAAAAATCAATTCGTTAATTATTTGATGTACAAAGTATAATGTTCCATAACGCCGAACTACAAAACAGTGACAGTGTATACCTTTGCAAAACGCATCCGAAAAGATATCGTAACGCATCGCTAGAAAAATCAGCGCATCAGAAACAAAGTTGATGCTTCCTTTGTTTTTGGTTGCCATTGGTGTTTTAAAAATGGAATATATGTGGTTGCAATGTTTCGCAACTTTTCACAGCAACACAACAGTTTGAATACCGCAGTATGACAGTATCCTATGCCCTGAACGGCATGCACAGGGGGTCAGTCTCGGGTTATGTAGACTCTAGACCTGTGAATGCCGTTCTAGGCACACCACCACCGGACAGAGACGAGACGGAGCTTCATCTGCCTCGGGAGACACGAACAACGTTAGCCCAACTTCGCTCTGGCTACTGCAGCGGGTTAAACTCCTACCTAAGTAGATTGAATGAGGATGTGCCAAATGAGTGCCCGGCATGCGGAGAGACCCCACCTGACTCGAAAAATCTCTTCGCATGCCCGGAAAACCCGACAACCCTAACGGCTTTGTCCTTGTGGACCGACCCGATAGAGGCTGCACGCTTCCTAGGGCTGCCGTTAGTGGAACTTGACGACAACGACTGAGATATCAACCGATCTGGGCGGGGTTGTTGTAGCCGCTACAACATTTGATACGATTTGGAAGTCAGCCTATCTTTTACCGTACATCTAAATTAAAAAGGTGGTTCTTCGCGCACTTCGGAAATCAAACATCTTCTTCGGCAAGCAAACATCTTCAGAAATTGCCGAGGATCCACAGTAAGTTTTTACCGTGGTTATACGGTAATTGTTTACCGTGGATACACTGTGATTTTAACCGTGGATACACGGTAATTTTTATCTTAAAAATTAGGCAGTGTCGACACACACGTGCGATGGCAAATTTTACCGTATATAATTTTTACGTGTATTATGTGTTGCCGGAGAAGTGGGGCAGAACTTCTTTCTGCGTAGGCGGCCCTCGGCCGCACTTAGGGATTATAACCCTTACCACTCAGAATTCTCCTTTCCGTTTTGCCGGAGAAGTGGGACAGAACTTCTTTCGGCGTAATTTTTACCGTGAATCTACGGTAAAAGTTACCGTGGCGCGCGTAAGTAGACACTCCCTAAAAATTAATTTAAATTAATTTTCTTGTATGGTTTCTTAAGGTAGCAGAAATAGCCAACAAAGAATTTCAAATTGACTGCGAAGTCATTGATTTAGTCTCTATATTGCCATGGGATCGTGACGCAGTGTATAAGGTAAGCAGATTTATGGAAAAAAATTATAAATATTGTGTCCACCAAATGATTGAACTTCGCTCTTCAGTCGGTCAAAAAAACAGGTAGAGTTATTGTTGCGCATGAAGCACCACTTACTCAAGGTTTTGGAGCTGAGCTGGCTGCATCTATACAAGAGAATTGTTTTCTGCGCCTGGAAGCACCAGTAAAACGCGTTACTGGTTGGGACACACCGTTTCCGCATGTTTTTGAACCATTTTACTTGCCTGACAAATATCGATGTCTAGCAGCCATAAAAGAATTGGTGAATTATTAAAACTCAGAAGCCGTAAATTCAACGATATTTATTAAAGATGCTTAAATTTTGGAAACGGATGCATTTACTTATGTATATTTTTGTATTTATACGAATGGGATTTTCTACTTTTTATTGTAAACATGTGCAATTATTATACATATTAGTTTAAGATTAAAAACAAGGCAATTAACAACTGCAACTACATACCTATCACATCGGTTGATTATGGATGGCAACGCAACCTAAGTTGGGCAACGCCACTGAAATGGAAATTTTTATTATGAATGGCAGCTATAGTTAAGTACTATATAGTTGAAGGTAGTAATATTTTGAAGAACTAGCAACTAACACTTGAGTCTAAATAAGCTGAAGAAACAGTTTAAAAAAGAAATTAGTTATCTCAATCAAAATTACCATGGCAACCACAAAAATGTAGTTACCAATATAGCAACTCAGTTGCCAGTTGCCATTTTTAATACCATTTCAGCCACTGACCACCCAACTGAAGTTCGGTTGCCATCCGTAACAATTGGACTTTAATCAGAACACCTGCATGCAATTTATTCATACATACATAGCTTAAGAATGGGCTAAATACAAAGATTAAGCAATCACAAACCAATTTTTTTACAAAAAAAAAAAAATACGCCTTAAAAACGTTCCCTGCCTTTTAGCACATAAAAAGCGCAAGTTTTTGCTTTTTAGAACTCGTGACCCATCATCAGACAATGTTTAGTCGTAACTTCAAAACTTCGAATTTTCGTTGCCTCAGTAAATAAATCATAAATGTTACTTTGCTTTGAAGATTCTATTGAACCATATGTACTTCAGAAAGCTTTAAGTAAATTATGGCAAGGGTCGAACATATTTATTTTGGTTATTTAGATTTTTTCGGTCATATTTAAACGTTATTTTTTTATTTTAAATTTTTCGTTAAAAAATAAACCTTATTTTGGATTTTTATTTATTCCATCATTTTTGACCATCAGTATTGATATTAAATTTTATACATATTTTTGCTTTCATATGAGCGCGTTGAATCTTGTATGATCTAAAAAAATCTGAAAATAATTAAATATGTTCGATAAAAACAAATATCTAAAATTAACGATTATTCTCGGTCGAAAAAATAGAAGTAGAATTTTAAGGGTCAAATAATTTGTATTATAAATATCTTGACCGTTATGGTCCTGGATTGTGTAAAATTCTGACCGTAATTTATTCATTTGTGTCGAAGTGCTCCTTTTAAATATATTCCTATTTGCCAAATTCTGATATAATTTATAAAGTTCGACTAAACATTTTTATTAACGTATTATTTTTTCATCAGTGAGAATTAATAAAAATAGATATGCACTTAACAAAGATCGTTGTTATTTTCTCGAAACTTTTTTAAGCGTTCGGTGATGCAACGAAGACAATCGATATGTTCGAAGACTGAATGGATGTGTTGACGCAATTTTGTGAAAAAGTCTTATAAAGTCTTCCTTTGGCCATACGTACTCTTGAGAAAGTGTTGGGCAGAACTCACTAATATTTACTCTACGATATTTCAAAAATCAGATCCAGAATAAATCCGTGTAACCATTATGTTACACATATATGTAGTTAGTTTCAACAAGTTTTTGGCTTCATTATTATAAGATGTCATTCGTTATCCTCGCTCGTTAATTATTTATTTATCACGTCTGTTTTTACTACAAATATAATAATAATAATAAATAAAGTATATGATTGACTACAAAATAAAGTCAGATGAAATGTGTTTCCGAAAAATTATAAATTTAAAAAGAGTTCAATGTGGCTGATTAACAAATTAGTTTCTTATATGTGTACGTTTTGCGTTAATATCTATATTAGTTTTACTTGATTACAAAATTACTTTTTTGCAAGCGCCATGCCGAGGCCTAAAATACCGCCCAACACAAGCACAGCTCCGCCTGCCACTGCCAGACCCTTCTTTAAATCTTTGTCATATCGCGTTTGAATATACTCCTGCAAAAACAATAGAAAATTAAGTTTGTTTTGTAAATTGGGATTCAAGATCTTTCCCAAGATTTGCAATGTTTTTTTTTTATAATTTCATAACTTAATAGATTTATAGTAAAATATTCGTTATAGTCTCTAATTTATATTGAATTTTTCATGAAATACATACCTCTAAAGACCGTACTTGTGGATTATCTTCTATTTCCAAGAAAACTTTACAATAATTCAAGGCAAGAGAATAGTTTTTCATGCGTGCTTCCCCTAATGCCAAATAATAAAGGTAATCTCGTCTTCCGTCGTGATGTTGTTCCATTAATTCCTCCAGTAATTCTATACCCTAAACCAGATCAGAGTATATACATACATTTGCAAAAAATGCAATAACATTCTACGCATAAATAATTGATGATTCATTAGTACTGCCATGACGCAAAATGTTTTGCATTTTCGACATGGTGAATACAAGTACAAATACCTTAGCGATGTCCTGCTTGTGAGCGCATCTGACCAGGCAAAATGCATATCCGAACTTAGCTTCTATACTTGCACGCCCATCCAATTCGAGTTCCCGAAGATATCTTTGCTCATTGTGCTGCAAAATATTAAAAGTTGTATTTCCTAATAATTGATTTGCTTATCATGGCATACATCAAAATCCTCCTGCGCTACCACCGTCTCCATCATTTCCTCCATGATTTTGAGTTCTTCCTTTTCCAGCTCCACTTTGAATTTTTTAACAAACGCTACAAAGGCAACAGATCTGACAATAATTTAGCAATACGAATTAAAATCAGAACTAAAACAGATAAGACAACTCGACACTTTGCAAAACAAGAGATGGAAAAAACTGTTATCGATTAATTTAGTTTAAATTTGATATCGGAAAATGCACGGTCGACCAGTTAAGAGCGAAATACATGTATTGTTGTGCACAACACAAGCGCCTTGACAAACTAAAACAATGTTCACATTACATTACATTACTTAGGGCCGGTTGTTCAATGTCTGGTTATCACTACTTGCCGGTTAAACATCATTATCGACGTTTTTGACACCATGCTTATAACATGTGATCTATAAAGCAGTCGTTGTATTTAACCGGAGCTTCTACCTCTGATTTGTGCAAATCAGACATTGAACAACCGGCCCTTAGTCTCGTTTAAAATACCTCACTAAAATAAGTGCGTTCATACACGCGTTTCTTTATTTGCCTTGACAGCTTTGTAGCAACCCTGTGTTATTGTTTATTTAACGAAAAGAGATCGCGAATATGCAATTGCGTATATTTTTATATTCTGAGTTGATTGTGGTAATTTTTTAGATTTTAGATGAGTGATCAAAAGAGAAAGCTTCTGGAAAGCTGGAAATATTTTACAAACTACCACGCGCGATTATTAAAAACAAAAATGTCCAAACACAATGACTTATCAGTTGTGGGACAATACTTTTTTCGATTATTATCGATAAAATTAGAGCCGACACTGATGTGTTCGTGATTTGGTTCTTGGTTTAACATAAACTACGTACTTTCATCTTAATTTACTGAGGGCCGGTTACTCAATGTCTGGTTAACACTAATCTGCGGTTAAACATCGTTACCGACGTCTTCGCCACAATGCATACAAGATGGAGTCGGTACCGTCGATAACTATGTTTAACCGCAGATTAGTGTTAACCAGACATTGAGTAACCGGCCCTGAGAGACTTTACAACGCGAAATTACTTAGGGCCGGTTACTCAATGTCTTGTTAACACTAATGTCCGGTTAAACATTGTTATCGACGTATTCGACTCCATTCATATAACAGGGAGTCGGTAACGTCGATAAAGATGTTTAACCAGAGATTAGTGTTAACCAGACATTGAGTAACCGGCCCTTAGTTTGTACTTAATTTATGCGTAAATTAAGATTGACCTCTAAATTACGCCAATGGGAACATAGTTTAAAGCCGATGCCAAATAAAACTTTGTGGCCTTGCGTGACATTTATAATTTTCTGCCGTCCCTAAATAAAAACAATTGTCAAAAATCATCATGCCCATAAAATTTGTATGGACCATCCCACAATAACGCGGCGCTAGCGCCGAGCAAATGAAATTTTCATTTTTGACGGGGCGTAACGTGTTGAATTTGGATACAGAAGACGGAAAGAAAGAAAAAGGAAAAAAAGGTGAAAGACGAAACGAGAATAAAAACGGGACAGTCACCGACTATCATTCAAAGCGAACAGACGTCTTTTCTCTCGCAGTGATTGGTTGTGCTTACTTGTGTGTTAACATTCCGTTAATCGCGTAATCTACTTTGTGCTCATATTTGTTTTTCTTCGACTAATTAATATTGTGCCAAACCACGTGATAGATACCAAACTACCTACATTTTAGTTCTGTTATCATGGCCTCGGGGCCCCCGGATAGGTCGCCAAATAGATTCTCTGCTTTAGCAGATTTTCTAGACATCCCAACCAAAAAGAAAAGAAAACCTAACTCAAATACCGACATTTTCCCAAAACTTACTCTAAAGCGTAATGCCACACCTAATCCTAAATTTATATTAATTTCTTCACCAGACAACAACGTGTCACTTTCTAAACTCAGTCCATTTGCTATCAAAAAATGCATTGAAGCCGTTTCAACTGAAGTCGACTCCATATCCCAACTCCGCGACGGCAATCTTCTTGTGCTAACGCGCAACCCGCAAGTCGCAGAGAAATTCTTGAAAATAAAAACCTTTTCTAACCTATGTCTAGTAAACGTCAAACTTCATGATACCTTAAACTCCGTAAAAGGTGTTATTTATGCCCCTTGCTTAAAGCACGTGGACGAAGAGGAAATAATCAATGAAATGAAAGACCAACACGTCACAGGCGTCTACAAATTTTCTAAGATAATAAAAGGCGAACGAACAATTACTGGCCAAATGGTCCTTACTTTCGATCTATACCGTCTCCCTGAGACAGTCGACGTTGCTTGGTATAAGGTTAAGGTGCAACCCTACATCCCCAGCCCAATGAGATGTAAAAGATGCCAAAAATTGGGGCATACCATCAAACGTTGTGAACGCAACCCGATGTGCTTCATCTGCAACCTTCCTCCACACGACCCAGAAGGTTGCACTAGAATCCAATGCGCTAACTGTGAGGAAGAACATCCTTCCTCTGATAAGAACTGCAGTAAGTTTAAAGAGGCCAAAGAAATTCTGAAAATCCAAACCTTGGAAAAATGCAGTGTGGGCGAAGCCCGACGAAAATACAAAAGCACTGTACGCCTCCCCCCACTTCGCGGCACTTATTCAGACATAGTCAGGGAAAATGAAACTAACCCTTCTTCAAATGCAGTATCGAAAGATACCGCCACAACATCACCACAAAACCAAAATTCCAATAAGCTAGAGTCATCCATCATAACAGAAGCAACCGCATTAGTTGTACCTCAAAACCAACAAAAAGAACAACCACCTAAAGAACAACCACTTAAACAACAACAACCAACAACCTCAAACAACGCCAACTTTAGCCTGGCATCAGAAAATCCAAATCCAGTTGCGCTACCTAGCTCAACTAGTCAAACCAACCAAACAACAATGTCACCAATATCTCTTTTTACCCAAAACCTCCTAAAAAACAATGATTATTTTATAAAAAGCGTCGGAAATCTCGACAATCCTACAAATCTCTCTGCAGACGACCTTCAGCATTAATATTTATATTCTCTCCTTGTAAAGTCACCTTTCAAGCGTGGAGAATCTCTCTTTTTTCATCATGAACCTGAATATTCTACAATGGAATATGAAAGGTTATTACAATAACTTCTCAGAATTACAAATTCTGATCAAGCAACACAACCCAAGTATAATCTCAATACAAGAAACACACTGTAGCTTCAACTCTACACTAACTTTTCCAAACAATTACACTAACTACTTTACAAACACTACAACTAACACAACATCCAAGCAGGGTGTTGGTATGATGATAAAAAACCACATTCCACATAAAAGGATTAACATCAACTCTCCTCTTCAGATTGTTATAATAGAAGTTGAATTAAACATTAAATTCACGGTAGCGTCCCTATATCTACCGCCTAGTCAGCAATTTAGTAGTAGGGATCTTACAGATATTTTCTGCGCAATAAACACTCCGCTAATAGTACTTGGCGACTTCAATGGATGGAGCCATTTATGGGGATCAAGCACCACCAACCACCGCGGACTCACTATTGAAAGAGCTTTAAGACTGTCTGACCTATGCGTCTTGAATGATGGTAGGCCGACTCATTTTTCCACCCATTCCACCTTCTCCCACGTTGACATCTCCCTATGCTCACCTTCCTTATTTCCTTTAATAACATGGCAAATTCTCGATGACCACCATAGTGACCACTTTCCCATAATTTTGAAGTTTACACATAATCCTAACACCCCTCAACGAACAAAGGTTCCTCCAAAATTCCTATTGGACTTCGCCGACTGGCCAAAATATTCCAATCATGTCGACATTGAGCTTGAACAAAGGGCAAAACGTAGAGGCTGCAAACATATCCAAAGCAATCCGCTCCGCCGCCAACCTTCATATTCCACAAGCGTCTAATTCTCCTAGAACCCATGTTCCATGGTGGAATAAAGACCTTTCTATCCTCAGGACAGAAAAGATGAAAGCCTGGTACAAGTTCAAAAACAACCAAACTTCCGAAAACCTTATAAACTTCAAAAAGCTAAACGCAAAGTTCAGAAAAGAAATGAAAACCCAAAAAAGAGCTAGCTTCCAAAAGTTCACAGAATCCATATCCCCCTCCTCATCCGTCCCTGAAATATGGGACAAAATAAATAGGCTCTGCCACCGAAGCCCACACAACCCCATCGTCGCCATAAAAACCAACAACACCACTTCCTCAGACCCTACTGTGATTGCCAACCAGTTTGGATCAGTATGGTCCACCTATTCATCTGACAGCAATTTTCCTAATAATTTTACAATAGAAAAAGACATGGTCTTAAATCAGATATCCCCACTTAATGAAGTACATCCATCAGCAGCTCTTATCGAAAAACAAATCTGTGAAATCGAATTATCTATGTGCACTGCCAAAGCAAAAGGAAAAACACCCGGCTTCGACCGTATTTCCTACAAGATGATTAACGAGCTATCGGCAATAGGGAAATCTCGACTTTTACACCTATATAACAGTATATTTGAAACGGGCATTATTCCACAGAATTGGAAAATAGCAACCATAATACCTATCCGTAAGCCGAATAAAAACCCCCTCACTACCGATGGATACCGTCCGATATCACTACTTTCTTGTTTATCAAAAACACTTGAGCGGATAATCGCGAACCGAATTGCGTGGCTTATCGAGACACAGCAACTAATAAACCCCAACCAGGTTGCTTTCAGAGCAAATAGAGGCTGCACTGACGCACTACTCCACGTAGACTTCTATGTCACAAAAGCTCTTTCAGCTAGCAACCACGTCTCCATTCTGTCACTGGATTTCGAAAAAGCATTTGACCGAATCGGGTCACACATAATTCTTCGGCGGCTTCATTCTTGGGGAGTTGGCCCAAAATCTTGAAGTTCATAAAATCCTTTTTAAGCAATAGAAAATTCCGGGTAAGGATCCAAAATGTATTTTCCAACATATATCCCTTAAGCAATGGAATCCCACAGGGCTCTCCGCTTTCAGTCATTCTCTTTAATATTGCCTTTAACGAAATCAGCGACATTATAAAATCCTACAATCGAGTCGATCACTGCCTGTATGCTGACGACGTCTATATTCTCTGTAAAAGTAACGACAATGAAGAAACCAATTTAATTTTCAAAAATATAGTAAA